TGCCGCTGGTTCTAGCTGGTAGCAGTGTACTCTACTAACCCAAAGGTAGGTACACTTTTATTTTAGAAATCTTTACCAGAGAAACAGGATAAAGAATGCTCTGACTGAGCCATCACCTCTACATACACATCTTTTGAACCCAATAATCTGCCAAGTCAAGTCAAGAAAATCAACTTGTGTCATTAAAGCTCCTGATAAAGGACAGCAATATAGCCTTTAAACCTCCCCCAAAGAGTATTTTAAGCTAATTACAACAGGCATGCACAGGGTGAAAAAGAAGACATATGCTTAGGGAAATTTGAAGAGTGAAAATCTATCTTTGGTAATAAAGATACTAAAATTGTGCTTGCATTCATTTTACTTGCACAGGAAGGTTTAAAAAGAAACTCTTTTGAAAAACGAAAGATCGTCAGATCACTGATAACTGCAGTTTCCTGAACAATTAAAGAAATTCACAAGATTACAACCTACTCAGGAAATGACAAATATTTCTGATTTTTTACGGAAGGACTAAAAGGGCACTTTTATCTATAGCATCTCTTCCATAAGAAGTACTGTTCAGAGATGAAGCTATTTTTATTATGTGTTCATTTATTTCAGGAGTGCACAACATGGCAATGATCTGAAAATGGAGAAAACTTAACATTGCTCATTTGCAAAGGTAAAATTTTGTGCTAAAAGGCATTCACCAGAGTTTTCTTTTTTAATCTCTGAAGTTGGATTTTAGAGCACAATTTCCATTGTACCAAACTTTTGTTTCTAATGCGTCAGCAGAAATGTCCTTGAAGTTACTTAGTCTAATTCTTCACAAACACACTTTGTAAGGTTGTTCTCAATGCATCATCCTAACATTGTTTAGCTCTGACAACATTCTTTGGGCAATGCTCCTGTTTGGAAAAATCTGCTTTTTAATAACTGATTCAAAAAAACTGTTGACATATTATTTGTATAATGTATGGCCAGCAAGCAAGGTTTATCTCTGTCATTACACACTGCATTCAACCCATCCACAAATGTTGCTATGTTCCCCTTATGTTAGAGCTCCTCAAGCCATTCTGCATGGCCATCCAAAGATCAATACACTGTCTGCTGAAAATGACAGGACATAACAAATGAATAATCTTATTTACCATAAAAGCCCCAGTCCCCAAATGGATTCCGCTAATGTTCAAAATCATTTTTCATGCTCAACTCAAGATGAGAGGTATACACAGCAAGCACGATGCAAGGAGACTGGGTAGGGAGAAGGATTCGCTATACTGGTTCAAATGTATTTAAGCCATGAACAATAGCTGGGCTGCACTGAGGTACATAAATAAAATGTTCACTGCAGAATTTGGAAGATGCAATCTCCAAAATGCTTCTGTTCTCTCACTAAGACAGTCTGAAGAGCGCTTTTCAGTAACAAAAAATTAATGGATTAAAGGCATTCTGACATATTCCTCTGGAGTGCTGCACCACAGAGGCCAAACCCTATTCAATTGGCTTTAAGCACTGTTTGCAACGAACGTAAGTGTTTGCTTTAGGTGGGGATGAGGAGAGATTCAAGTGGCTCTTTTAAGAATGAAGCAAATACTCTTGCTTCAAAAGTTTATCTGCGGCCCCTGATCTGACAGTCCTTTATCTCCTCCAAAAGGTATGAAGAAGTCATTGAACAAAGTCGTAAGAAAAAAGGGTTGGGGGGTGGGCAACAAAATGTTCGAGAGGAACCAGTTCAGAGATGACATTTACAAACCTCTCATGAATGGCATATTCCTCAAAGGCCTCCTGAGTACTCATTTTTAAAGGAAATCATTAAAAATATAAAATAAAATTTTCTAGTTCATATAAAGATGCCAATATACTGCCTCTAAAATACAGTGATGTCCACTGACAAATTAACATAAAATAAAAAAGGAAAATAATTTTTTTCCATCTGCCATCAATGCATTCACTGCTTTTAGACTTAACTCGGTACACTCCTAACACAGAAATGTATACAAGAATGTAACTGAGAAAGCATGGAGGGAAAATTGGGAAAATACAGCTTGAACGTGATACTAAAAATTCTGCACTAAGATGGTGTCAAGACTTGGCTTCGTGCATGGCATCCAGTAAAGGCCAGTTTTCAGCAGACCGTGATTGTCCCATTCCATTAATTAAAACTATCCATATGCTCCTGATGTTTATCGTTTCACTGTAAATTCAGTCAATGCAGTCCTTTTGGCTGGTAAGAAAAGGAGATGCGCAAGAGCAGGTCCTGGCCCCACTCCTTCCCAGGAACCAGTGACTCAGCGGCGAGAGAAAGAGGAATGCGCACAGTTGTGACACGATGAGGCCGATGAGGCGGGTGCTTGGCGTGGCGCCTAGGACACAGTAGGAGATCCATAATAAAGTGCTGAATGAATCAACACGCGAATAAGGAACCGAGTGCCACAAAAAGGAAGAAAATTTTTTTCCCAAAGAGGACAGGACAGGTATTAAGCACTTTAGTCAAAATTAAAAGGATGGGAAGAATCTCAGGGTGAAGAAAAGTCGGGCAAAGGGCAGGCGGAAGCATGTGTAAAGGGAAATACAACATCTGTTTAGGAAGTAGTGGAAAGGGACTGAGTCAGATAACAAAAACCTTCTACAGCTATGCTAAGGAGT